CAGAAATCTTGAGTCTCTCACTTTGAAGTTCAGCACCATCGCTGGATGACCCACACAACCCAGGCATCTCATTTTTCCTGTGCGCACCATGCCAGGCACCACGTGCTCCCACAGCAGGTGGACAGGGAGACAGGAAAGACGGAACATGCATTTCACTGTTTCCGTGCCAGCCCCGTTTTCTGTCCTCAGACGCCACACATAGGGCTCTGAGGCCTTGCTCCTTCCTGCCATAGTCTCTCTCCTCCTGAAGCACTCCAGCACCCGCAGCTGCCTCTCCAACGGCTCCTCCCAAGGCCCTGGATTAAGGCTGCACCTGTTTGGGATTTGCTCAATCTGAAAAATAGTAGAGCTCCCCCAGAACGCCTAATTACCTTTGCCCTGAAAGCAATGCAATTGGATGCTTTGGCAGCACACTCAGAGCGGCCAGGGCTTGCAGACAGGGCTTCTGGATCCAGTCTCAGTTACTCCAGACAGAACACGGTAGTTGAACTTTGATTTACACCCCCTCCTCACTCCTCCACCTGCCTCTCAATCCAAGAATCTTGCCACCTGCTCTCGGCAGGTTTAACAAAGTGCAAGCAAAGGTGATCACAGTTTGCATTGCTGATAGCTGTGAGATAGGAGACAAAAACTGGTCTGACTTTATATCCACTGTAATAATCCAAACTTCAAGATGAGAAATGCAACATTTATTGAATTTTCTTTTTCAGGTGAACTCAGGGAAACCACCATGATGATCCCACTTAATTCTTAGTTCCTGGCCAATGAAGAGAACTTGGAAACTAGTTGGAGTTCAGTATTTCATGAAGATCCTAAAAAGAGCTCCTTTTAGTTATTGTCACACTCTTTGGTCTCTCCTCCCAGCACACACATGCACACATCTCACATCCGGGGAACAGGAGAGAAGAGATGGGAGAAGGGGGGTTAATCCTGCTAAGCATTAGAAGGAGCGCTGAGAGGGCTGACAGACCAGGCCCAGCATCTGCGTGAGGAGCTGTTCCAACCACAGAAGTGAAAGGGACAGCCACGGAGACTTTCAAGCACTCATGTGTTTGTGGATAAAATGATGTTTGGGGGACGCAGTCACTGGTCGAAGGAATGGAGTGAAAAAAGGCAACCAGCAAGATCAGAAGGGCTGCTTCCCTAAAAACAGGGAGGTGGAAAAGAGAGAGAAAGTACATTCTCCAAGAAGCATGCTACAGGTTTGCTGTCTCTTGGTCATCCTGTCAATCGCTCCTGTAATTTCTAGCCACTTCTCCTTTCCTCTCAACACACTGGGTTTCCTTTTTATAAGAAATATACTGTTACTATAAAAAGTGAAGGTAGTGGTAAATCTTGCCTAATATTAAACTAGAATACAAGGCCAACGAGTTATTGCTTAGAATAATCAATCAATTCTGTGGCCCCCTAATTTCCACCTGCAATTTTTTCTTTGTGCTAATTTTACATTTAATTTTGGCATAAATTAAAGTTAATTGCCTTTGATTACCTAAGATGAATTACACTGCAAGAAGAAAAGCATAATATGTTTAAAAATGTATTTATTTATTGAGAGAGTAAGACAGTGATCTCCCAGTCTGCGGGTTTACTCTTCCGAGGCCCAAAAGGGCAAGGGCTGAACTGAAGCTGGGAGCCAGGAGCTCAATCAGGGTCTCTCCCAAGGGTGGCAGGGACCCAACTGCTTAATCCATCACCTGCTGTTTCCCAACGTGCACGTCATCAGGAAACTCAAATCAGTAGTGGAGTCAGAACTAGAATCAAGGCACTCCAATATGGGATGTGGGCTTCCCAACTTGCATCGTAATGGCCATGGCAAGCATTCACCCCCATACCTTTTAAAATGTCATCTAGGGGTCAGTGCTGTGGCATAGAGGGTAAAGCCACTGCCTGCAGTGCCAGCATCCCATATAGGCTCTGGTTTGAGTCCTGGCTGCTGCACTTCCAATCCAGTTCTCTGCTATAGCCTGGGAAAGCAGTGGAAGATGGTCAAAGTCCTTGGGCCCCTGCGCCCACATGGGAGACCCAGAAGAAGCTCCTGGCTCCTGGCTTTGGATTGTGCAGTTCCAGCCATTGTGGCCATCTGGGGAGTGAACCAGCAGATGAAAGACCTCTCTCTCTATCTCTCACTCTTTCGCTCGTTCTTTCCCTCTCTGCCTCTTCCTCTCTGTTACTCTGCCTTTCAAATAAGTAAATAAATCTTTAAAAAAAATGTCATCTAGCAGAAGCTTCTCAGTATTGGCTCTTGAGCGAATGCCTTGTTGCTGGTCCACCTCACCTCGGTTTCATACAGTGCTTACTTATTGCAATTCTTTGGAATATTTGTTTTCTGTTCCCAGTGTACATCTAAGCTTTCCATTCCTTGATGCTAAACATCGCTTAGCTGACATTCAGCTGTCCATGCTGCGGGAACAACACCCTTTGGCTCAGTCTTTGTTTGTGGTACTCGGTGAGGATGTGGAGAAGACAAAGAAAATATTGCTTGTGTCTTGAGTGGTTGTGTCTGGAGAAGGGAAGAGAGAGAAGAGAAAGGCTGGACTATTGACCTACTTGCTCTGCAGAGAGTCCTAAAAGAAGGGACAAAGGGAGGAATCCAGAGCCCCTAGAAAGAAAGAAAATTGGACATTCATCAGTCACAACCAGGCCCTGTACTAGGCTAAAGGGGTTTATATTTATCTTTCTACTCTGGGGACAGAAATCTGCACGGAATGCATGATATTTACCAGAATTCAGCCAAGAACTTTGAGTTGTTGCCTACTCCATCATAGAGCCTGTCTGGGCTTTTCATCCCGGCGTTTAAATCTCTCCACCACTTAGCTCTAAATGACCCATCCAAATTTACTGCCCATTAAAAACATGATGTTTCCTCCTCTAAAGTGGCCTCATCACGATATTTTTATTCCTGTGCTTATACTCTTTCATGGTGGAAAATGTAATTTAGGGGCCATCTGGATCTGCATTCCAATCCTGACTCTATCACTAACTAGTTGTGACATTGTGAACCACGGTTCCTTCATCCTTGAAATGGGACTAGTGATTCTTTATAGAGTTAATGGAGATAACATCCATGAAGGACTTGGCTTTAGAGCTGGTGTGCCTGAAGCACTCGATGAACTATTGTTAGGTCATCTTTTTGTAAAATTTTTATTTGATAGGAATATAAAAAGATAGACAGATGGATAGCAAGAGCTCCCATCACTGGTTCAGTCACCAAATGCTTGCAATGGCCAGGACTAGGCCAGACTGAAGCGGGAAGTCAGGAACTCCATCTGGGTCTCTGATGTGGTTGTCATGGACCCAAATACTTGAACTTTTACCTGGTATTTTCAGGGTGCACTTCAGCTGGAAGCTGGCATTGAGAGTGGAGTCGGACTTAGGCACTCCCATGTGTGATATGGGTGTCTCAAGCAGAGGTTTAACCTCCAGGCCAAATGCCTGCTCTTTACTACGTCATCATTATGATCAGTATTAAATGCCTTCTCCAGAATCAGATTCTTCTAAACCTTACTCATCCATCAAGTTTAATACCCAAGTTCTCTTTGAAACCGATTTTTCCACCACTGGTTCAAATCTATAGATTCATTTTCTTTATGTAATTTTGTATTGGACCACACACTAGTCTGTGTGCCACTGCCCAGGTCTAAAGTTCTTTTAATGTGAAGGCTAAATCTTATAGGCTCTGCTGAAACGTAGCTCTGACCTTCAATAAATGAGCAGTAAGTAGTTGTTGAATTTTAACCTGTTCAGAGCTTTTGCACTTATTGAGCTTCTTAGAATTCAGGATCATGTTTCGTAATGTTAAAACACACTAAGTATGCTACAAGCTCCTAATTTTAAACACATTAAAATTATATAGTGCAGCTACCATGGAAAACATAACATTGCAGTATAGCAACTGTAATAAATGATTTTTGAAATACCTAATATATGGGTTCACATGTTCTAACAACTCTCTAAGCCTGGAATTAAATTATTGGAAACCACACTTTCCAGCCCTCTGAACAATGCAAAAAGCCCTATGATTAGCATAAAAAATGCTCCCTGTGTATTTCCTCTTAACTTCTCACTGAAATGAAATGAATCAACTCAATGTTCTGGGAGCTGGCCTTCCATATAAATAACCTGCGGTTTGCCTTTGGTTCAATATACTGATTTACACAGCACATGCAAGTTTATAAATTACATTTGTTAAGATACACGTTAGTGGTGTAAAGTGACAATTGCCTCTTGCAGCTAAAAGAAGCATCTAGAACTAGGAACCTTGAGACAATAGCCACAGAGATCTTGACACAATCTCAAGGACAGTGGCATGGAAAGGCCAGAGTGTAGATCAGTTTGATCCACCTGCTTGGAGATTAGCAAACCTTCCTCCCTGAACTTTATAGGTTTGACCCACACCCAAGAGACACACCCAGCTCTGCCTCTGGGATCTGCCCCAACCAGCTTTCTTGCCCAGGACAGGCTGTGAGAAACTCTTTTGTTCCTCTTTACATGGATCAATTTGTCTCACCATTTCCTGCATTTTTCAGAAGTTACTTCAATAGAGTATTTTTAGGAGCAAGTTGGAAGCTGCTGGTAGTTATCATGTTATCTACAAAACCCAGAGTCAGAAACTGAAGGGTAACGTTTCCCCGCAGGTGTCAATCTGCTTTCTAATCTATATAACCAAGTTGCTATTCATCATGGAGACTACTTCCTTTATTTCACATTGTTTTGAGTTTCCTTTACTAGCCAGTTTATCCACATATCTTTTCTATAGGTCGAATTTGGAGTTGGCAGGAGTGAGGGGAATGGTTGATAGGCAGGATTAGAAAGTCCGAAATTTCTCTGAAATACTAGTACCTTATTTAAAAAAAATGTAGAGGTAAGGGAACACCAAAATAAATAAACTGGAGTGGCTAATATATTCCAAATGGATAACATTTGTGTACCAACTTTTTGGCAAGTCCCTCAGCCAAGTGGTCTCAAAATTCTCAGGTGGGTCCACAGGTGAATGATTTGTCTTGTCCTACTGGAATGATAGCCCTGTAGAGTGTTTTGCAAATGATAGAAATGCTATATGTCTTCACAGGTCCTCCAGATGAGGAGTTTTCTATTTCACCATATCTGTTCTGGGGGACAAAAAGGCAACTGAATAGAGTCAACTCTTAAATGAATATCATTTACCACCTAGTCGTCTATGCAGGCAAAGCACGCTTGGCCTGGGAAACATCTAGACCAGCATAACACCCTCCCCAGAGGCAGTCCCAGGGAAGAAAGGTAACCCATATAATGAACAAGAGAAATGGATGGGGGACACTGCACATTTCTGGCTTTAGATTCATCTTCTTAGGAAAAACATTTAGTGTCTCTCGGTCTCAATGTTGTTTTGCAAGGTTTAAAAACCCAAATAGACATCTTCCAAATTGCGTTAAGCCCTAAAACTCTATGATTTTTAATCCATCAGAATACAAAATAACAATAATGTATGAAAATGCTAAAATGTATCTACAGCTAGAAAATTGGAGTAAAGAAAAGCAACAGTGGTTTGCTATGAATCAAGGAATTCTACAAATCCCAAATTCTACACAATGCATTGGTTTCCCCTTGCTGTGTCAGTGTCAGTGTCAGTGTCAGAGGTTTAATGCTTCTAGTTGAACAGTGAATAGAATGATGGTAGCATCTCAGTACCATTGAGAAATCAGAACTGAGTCTCTCCCTATCACTTCTATCTCACTACTGCATTCTTACCAAGTTTCTCTTCTTCAAACAGAAATTCTCACACCTACCATGGCAGAAAACATCGTGTCTCTCAAAGATGTCCACACCTCAGTCCTCAGAACGTGAAGACACATTACTTTATTTGGCAATAAATAAATAAAAAGACTGCAGATGCGATCAAGGTAAGGATATTTGATTATATTATCCTGAATTACATGAGTGGGTCAAATGTATACTCACAAAGGTCCTTATAAATTAAAGACAGATGCAGGAAAGTCAGTAATGGGGATTTGAAGTTGCTGTAGTGTGGCTTAGAAGATGGAAGAAGAGGCTGGGAGCCAAAGAAGGCAGGTGGACTCCACAAGATATGAAAAACAAGGAAACAGACTCTCCCAACAGCTTCTGAAGAGAAAACAGCCCCATTGGAACCCAGTGAAATTCAATTTGTGCTTATGATCTCCTAGAACTATATTGTATTTTTAGTTCTTGTGAGCGCTGCAGGAGTCCTCCAATGCTAATCCACACACTTCAGGGTCTTCACACTTGCTCTTCCCAGTACCCAGAAGGTGGCTTCCTTTGAATCATTTCATAATTGGCTCCTATTGGTCATTCTTGTCTTGGCCGTGTGGCCTCTTCTCTAAACGTATACTCTAAGGTGCTCTCTAGACCATCAGCTTATTCTTTGCACTTCTTTGATTCTTCTGGTTTGTTTGTTTAATGACTATATTCCTGTCTGTAATGTCAGCTTCATGAGAATAGAAAACTTGTCTGTCTTAGTCACCACCCTACTTAGAATATTCAGAATAGTGTCTGACTCTCATCAACAGTTGTCTGACTGTAGGATTCAGAGGACCTGAATCTTACAGATAGTTTCTGAGACATACTCAGACACATATAGATTTTGATCATCGTTCAGTCACAAAAGCCTTCTGTCTTAGTGAATCTTCTGTTGCTATAACAGAATACCTGAGATCGGCTAGTTTATTTTAAAAAATCTATTTCTAGCAGAAAAGATGTCCCTTAAAACACCATCATCCCACACTGGAGAGTGCCTGTGTTTGATTTCCTGGCTGCAACTCCTGACTCCAGTTTCTTGCTAATACAGACCCTGGGAGGCAGCGATGATGGCTCAAGAAATCGGCCTCTTGCCTCCCATGAGGGAAACCTGCATTCCCAGCTCCTAGCTTCAGCCCTCCGCCCAGTGGTTGCCAAGTATTCAGGGAGCAAATCAGCATATGGGAGCTCTCTGTCAGTGCTGCTGTGTCTCTCTCTGTGCCTCTCTCACTCTGCCTCTGAATAGAAGGAAGAAAGGAAAGGAGGGAGGGAGGGAGGAAGAAAGGGAGGGAGGGAAACAAATTTATTTCTTATTTATCCCTTATTGTTTGGGAGGCTGGGAAGTCCAAGACTGAGGGCCTGCATCTAGTGAGGGCCTTCTTGCCAATGAGGACCTGGTGAGGGTGTTCATTCAAGAGACAGAAGCAGATTACTTCTTATAAAAGACCCACTTTCAAGATAACCCAATTTTGCAGGTCCTCCACGACCTCTTAAAGGTCTCACTTTTGGATATCTTACAATGTCACATGAATTTTGGTGAGGATAGTCAAACTAGAGCACCATCTCTTGCCACCAAAAACCCCAACTATGTGACTCTCCTGCACTGGTTTTGATTCTCCATCACTCTCTCCTCCCATCTCACAGGGCAAAGTGGAGAAAACATGCGAGTAACCCGGATATTTCCAAAGACAGAACTGTGGGATAAAGACAGTGGTCTTTGAGAGTCTAAGGAATAAATGGCACTATATAATGTTAAGTCGCTGAAGTTTCCTTCAATTGAAAATTGCACTTTTACTTATGTTTGATAACTTCACAACATTTCCACTTGGCCAAAATCCCATCACAGCAAAACCAAGAGCGCTCCTCCCCCTGCCTTGAAATTTGTTAAAATGGCATTTCCCTTGTGTTGCATTTCCTTAGACCTGTGCATAAACATCTCCCAAGATAGAAAGCAATGCACAGCTGTAGCCCTGGGAAGAATACCGCTGTGCTTGGGATATCACATTTTTAAATCTACCAAAGCTGGAAAAGAGATTCAAAGCTAAGGCTGTAAGTCTGTCTTTAATGTGCCCTCTTATGCACAAGGCTTTACCATTAACATGTCCCCTCAGAATTGGGTGACCTACTTTGCTGGACTCACAACTGTGGCAGTACACATTAAGGACATGCAGTTCAGTCAGGAAAGTGAATCTCCTTCTTACAGGACGGACCTCACACCCTAACGGGATGGTAATAGTTTGTGGATGAGGTGCAAAGGAGGACACGGTGAGGAAAAGCGATTGAAAGGAAGAAACAACTTTGATTGTTATGATCCCCATTTATGGTATAGCACTGGAAGAGAGAAGAAGCGCTAGAGGTTTTAAGAATTGTCCACTAAATTTAACCAGACCTCTTTCCCCTCTCCCCATCTGTCAGTGTTTTATTTGAATTTTCAACTGTGTTCAAACCTTCCAGTGAAATTCTTTAAGCCTTTGTTTTAATTTTTATCTTGACCAGAACTTGCAGACTGGCAGCTATTGACCAATTGATATTTGTAGGTCTGTTTTGATTGGCTGTGCATTGCATCTTAAAACTTTTTTTTTAAATTAGAACACCATTAGGTACATGTATCTGGTCTAGTTTCCAATAGATTCCAGCACTCACTGGTCTCTTAATCTGGCTGCTTTACATGTTTACTTTTCCTTGTTTTCCTGGCCCCCAATTGCTAGACTCTAGTCTGGTCTATACCTGGCCAATATTGGCATCCTGGACTATCCAACTCAGAGGCGTTTTGGGACTGATGCCTCCATAGATGGTGCCAGACTGTTCATTTTGTTTTCTCCCAGAGTAAGCATGTGACTCACGGATATAGCTACATTATTTTTTACTCCTCAGTGAGGACTTCTGATTTATGCATTTATGTATTGGGTGGAAAAACAATCTTACAAATTTAAAATCCAAGTCACAGTCAGATTTATTTCTACCTTGCCTTTTTCCAGAAAGGAATTAGAATGGCTATTAGATTAGTTATAAAGATTCGTGATAAGTTGTTTTTAATAGAAGCATCAAATAACAAAATCTGGATCACCTGCAGAAAGCCTGGACACATTGATGCTGTGGACAGGGAACAAGTCAGTCATGGAGGCTGCCATTCTGTGGACTTTGTTGGAAATGCAGTTTTGAAGGAGCAGACAGACGTCCCATTTCAAAACAGGTGACACAAATGACACATGGAGGATTCTGCACTGAGCTGGGGAAGGGCTTGGAGAATCATGAAGCAGCATTCAACGTATCTTTGTTTCTAGAGCAGAAGATTCCACGAGAGACTCTTCAGGGTAGAAAGTATGGAGTGGAGGGGGAAAGTGGAGCAGGATCAGGCCCATCTGGTAGCTAACAACCAGGTCAGGGTCAGCAGCGACTCCCACATTCTAGGAAGGAAAGGAAGAGCTTCTTTGAGAAAGGCCCAAAGGTCCTGAAGAAAAGCACCATTTGGAATCCACTTACCATCTCTGCTTCTCTTTCATGTTCAGTTAGTTCACTTCCCTGCTTAGAGTTTACCAAATACTGGGAGATATATATATATATATAGACAGGCAGAGTGCACAGTGAGAGAGAGAGACAGAGAGAAAGGTCTTCCTTTACCGTTGGTTCACCCTCCAATGGCCGCCGTGGCCGGCACGCTGCGGCCTCCAATGGCCGCCGTGGCCGGCGCGCTGCGGCCTGCACACCGCGCTGATCCGAAGCCAGGAGCCAGGCACTTGGGCCATCCTCCACTGCACTTTCAGGCCATTGCAGCTGGCCTGGAAGAGGGGCAACCGGGACAGAATCCGGCGCCCCGACCGGGACTAGAACTCGGTGTGCCGGCGCCGCAAGGCAGAGGATTAGCCTATTGAGCCGTGGCGCTGGCCACTGGGATATATTTTTTTTAAGACAAGCCTGGTCCAAGCCACCATCTTCTTTTTTTTTTTTTTTTTTTTTGACAGGCAGAGTGGACAGTGAGAGAGAGAGACAGAGAGAAAGGTCTTCCTTTGCTGTTGGTTCACCCTCCAATGGCCGCCGCAGTCGGCGCGCTGCGGCCGGCGCACTGCGCTGATCCGATGGCAGGAGCCAGGAGCCAGGTGCTTTTCCTGGTCTCCCATGGGGTGCAGGGCCCAAGCACCTGGGCCATCCTCCACTGCACTCCCTGGCCACAGCAGAGGGCTGGCCTGGAAGAGGGGCAACCGGGACAGAATCCGGCGCCCCGACCGGGACTAGAACCCGGTGTGCCGGCGCCGCTAGGCGGAGGATTAGCCTAGTGAGCCGCGGCCCCGGCCCACCATCTTCTCTCACCTTATATTTGCAAAGGTCTACCAGCTGCCCCTCTCCAACAGTAGTCAGAGATGATTCTTTTAAAGAAAGCAAATGCAACCACATCACACCTGTTCTGTCAACCCTCGCTGTATTTGCTATATCTCTCCACTAGTTCATAGCCTCAGCTCAATTGACATTTGTTGCCACTAATTCTCTGTGGTAGGGGCATCCTCTGCACTATAGGACGTTGAGCAATGTTCCTGGCCTTCACCAGTAGAACCAGTAGATGCCAGTAGAACCCTTGAGCCCTAATTCCGCCAACCGCCCCTGATCAAGAATGATTGTGCTATCTGGACCTTGCCCTGACTCCAGCCAAATTTTGCATCCCCCTCCCTGCTCTAACCACCACCACCACCATGACCACCACCACTACCACCATTCTTATTCCCCAGCTCCCCCTGCTTTCTCTCATCTCCTCCAATACTTTCTTCCACTACTACTACTTTTACTTGGCTTCTATTCTACTAAGTCTTTTTTTTTTTTTTTTTTTTTTTTGACAGGCAGAGTGGACAGTGAGAGAGAGAGACAGAGAGAAAGGTCTTCCTTTGCCGTTGGTTCAACCTCCAATGGCCGCCGCAGCTGGCGCACCGCGCTGATCCGATAGCAGGAGCCAGGTACTTATTCTGGTCTCCCATGGGGTGCAGGGCCCAAGCACTTGGGCCATCCTCCACTGCACACCCGGGCCACAGCAGAGAGCTGGCCTGGAAGAGGGGCAACCGGGACAGAATCTGGCGCCCCGACCGGGACTAGAACCTGGTGTGCTGGCGCCGCAAGGCGGAGGATTAGCCTAGTGAGTCGCAGCGGCGGCCCTACATAAGTCTTACTCTTTCTTCAAGCTAAATCCTTCCCTAATCCTGGTAGGTCATCTACCCACTCCCAAACCCGATGTGTTTTCATAACACCAGCTTTTTTTTTTTTTTTTACACAGTTGTTATCATGATTAACATTCCTTTTGTGATTAATTCTCCCTCTTATCCTTTTTGCCCTGAAAGCTTCTTCAGGATAGGATTCTTACTTATGTTCTTGCTGCAGTTTCTAGTTCCAAGCGTAATGCCTGATGCACCATATTCGCGAATAAATAACTCAAGAAAGAAAAATGACATGAGCTACCAAAATTCAGGGTGGACAAGAGGGATGTAACCACAGGTGAGCCCTGCAGCTGCCTATCCCCACTTGAGGATACTGTGTTAATGGTGTTATGTGCATAATAATGATAGCCTCCATTGGCAGTTAATCTGTGCCAGGTAGTGTACCGTACACTTACGTATCAGTATATCCTTAAAACTTCCTGATGGAGCCATAGCTGCAAATATGCCCATTTTAGTGACAACTTAAGGAAACTGACGAGGATCGCACATCTGGAAAGAGGCAGAGCTGGAATTCATACTCTGGAAGTTGGACCCAAAGGCCCTTGCTCGAAACTCTGACCTATTTCCTGCCATGAGTTAGGAAGCAGAGTTGGAGTCTTAGCACTTCCTCAAAACGTATGACAGGAGCCTGTTTGAAGAATGTCTGTGGTCTGCAGGGTCTTGGTCTCCGGGTCTGAAGAAATCATTCGGAAGCAGGCTGTTCACTGTCTGCTGAGTGTTCTCAGTGCTGTTGGGATGGTGGGAGTGAGCATGAGCGCACTGGGGCACACACTCTGCAGCACATCACACCCACTTAAAGTTTTAATTAACAAACTTCCTGTAAAATGCATAAGCATATAAGTCATTCATATCTCACCATAAAGGACCTTGGACCTCTCGTAAGAAAACTTGCCTCCCCGTGTGTGTGTGTGTGTGTGTGTGTGTGTTCATGCATTAACAGCTAAAGGAGTCTAGAACACTTCTGTGTAGGGAGATGACAGGGAAGAGCTTAGGAAGCCATAAGGCTTTGATAGGGCCACTAAATGCTTGGTTCCAAAGAAGTAGGTGGGAGAAGGACACTGGATATGAAGTGGGAAGATGCCAAAAGTAATTGCTAGCCACTTTGCAATTACTCCCAGGGCTCAGACGCTGAGAAAAATCATCCTCAGGGCTACCTTTGGCATTGGAAGCCTGCAGTAGAGTTTTCATGAATAATTCACTTTGCCAAAGTAGAAGTAAGCATGGTTTGTAGTTCACTTTCCTTCCATTAATTTAATCTATGACTTTCATTTCGTCTATCTGTAAAAACAAAAGGGATACGCATATTTAGCCGTGAGCCAGGGAAGTGATTTATTAGGCAACATTTATAAATCATTATTTATGACACACTAATAGTCTAGCAAATGTCTTTTGAAAAGAAGATTTTTACTGAGTGCAGATTCAGGAAAATAATATGCATTCTATACACAGTTGACTGAATTTTGTCTCTTCTTCTACAGATAACACTCATCTACCCAATTTTGACACACGTACTCAAGTGCCAGAGAAGGATCAAAGTCCATCTGTCTAGAGGAGGTTTTGCCTGTCAATCAAATTTGTCATTACTTGGATTAAGTTGTTGAGATGATTAGCCTCTTGGAAAATAACGAAGATGGAAATGCCATAATAAATTATTATTAATAATAGGGATTTGGGGCAAATGACACTGTACCAGTAGAAACCCACAATCTTATTACTTAAGCTGCCTTCAGGCCTGGTGGAAAGAAAATATTCCCTGGGACGTAGTAGCTTCATCTCTTTGGCCTCCTCCTGAGGCATCCGCCCTAGTCATCATGATACTGTCCCCGGGCCCTGGCGACCAGTGCCCTCATGACTAATTAAAAACTTGCATCACAGCAATGTTAAAGGGCTGGGAGTCCTTTCTCTTTCAAAGCAGGACTTCTGGCTCCAACTTCTGCACTTGGTGATATCAAGCTGATTCATAGCGTGGACATAGGCTATTTTTGGGCAAAGCCAACTCCAGCCTCTCACTCCCTACAGCTGGAACAAGAGCTGACCTTGAATGACCTAGGTGGCAGACATCATGGCTTCTCTTAGGAAGTTATTAGACAACAGTGAGGTGCGTTGCCTGCAAAGGACACAGAGATACAAAAACCACAGGAAATCTAGGCTCTCTCAAGAAAAGTGTTCTCACATCCTCTGAAGAGGAACAGCCCTGACTTTTCCTCCTCTTTTCTCTCTGTCAGAAGTGGAAAAGATTGGTGGGAGAAGCCGGATGACAAGTTGCTTCTAAGCCTGTGCATAAGATAAGTAACATCCTGGTATACATATTTATTTATTTTTAGTTTTTTTCTGTTTGAAAGACACATACAGGGGGAGAGAGAGAAAGAGAGAGAGACAATGAGAGAGACACAGAAAGAGATACACAGAGAGAGAAATTCCTTACATGGTTTCACTCTAAATGCCTAGTGGGCCCAAAACAGAGACCACTCAGTCAGGATCACCCATGAGGGTAGCGGCAATCCAAGTGCTTGAGCCATCAAGCTGCCTCCCATGGAGCCGAGTGCCTGAGCTGGGAACAATCACAGGCACTCTAAGGTGGGACAGGGGTGTCTCAATAGCTAGATTAAATGCCTGCTCCACCGATTACCTCAAGATAAGTCTGGTTACCTGGGAAGCTACCTGCTAAAATCCTGTGTTTCCGTCTTAAATCATATTGTCTAATATTGAGAGCATTTTGGAAGGAAGGGAATTGTATATCTAATTGTATGTGTATCTCTCAGACTGGGTCAGTATTTAGCATATAAATGTAACTTATTTTGTGTCCAGTGAGTGAAAGGAAAATTTAATTATTTAGGATCATTATACATAAACACATGATATCAAATGTTCATTGAAACATGTGTTGTTTGTTCATGAATAACAGTACTAAATGAAGAAACAAAGAAAGAGCATAATGAGCAGTCATTCAATTATTTATCCTCCTTTCCTTAGGTGGAAATGCTCGATTCTGTCCCCAGACGGCTGCCCTAATTCTGACCTTGGCCTTATTCCAGAGCACTTCAGCAGCCACCCTTGTAGCTTGTGCCTGGGGAGGAAATTCAGCAGGATGCTAGCTGCCTTCCCAGTGTGTCCTGGGACTCCTGAGTGCTGCCCATCTCAAGGCTTCTCCTTTCAGCTCATCATTGACGCAGCTGACTCCGGTCTCCAGATCCACACATTGCTGTGTGCTCTTTCTTTTCTTCTTCACCTGGAGCCTCAGGGGACGGCGAAATTAAGAGAGGAGGGGCTGTAGAGTTGATAAGGAAATGCTGAACACTGGAGGCTAATGCAAGTTCCTCACTTTATTTCTCATGTCATCTACTTATTGAGGGAAGGAAAACTGATTCGTGTTCAGGTAGTTTTGAAAAATAATTGTAAAGTATTTTTTTCTTTTTTTAAACTTTTATTTACTAAATATCAATTTTGAAAGTACAACGTTTGGATTATAGCAGCTTTTCCCCCCATAACCTCCCTCCCACCTGCAACCATCCCACTCCCACTCCCTCTCCCATCCCATTCTTCATCACGATTCATTTTGAATTATCTTTACATACAGAAGATCTACTTAGTATATACTAAGTAAAGGTTTCAACAGACTGCACCCACACAGACACACAAAGTATAAAGCACTGTTTGAGTACTAGTTTTACCATTAATTCACATAGTACAACACATTAAGGACAGAGATCCTATATGGGGAGTAAGTGCACAGTGACTCTCATTGTTGATTTAGCAATTGACACTCTTTTTTTTTTTTAATTTTTTTAACAGGTAGAGTTATAGACAGTGAGAGAGAGACAGAGAGGAAGGTCTTCCCTCCGTTGGTTCACTCTCTTAATGGCCACCATGGCCGGCATTGTGCTGATCTGAAGCCAGGAGCCAGGTGCTTCCTCCTGGTCTCCCACGTAGGGGCAGGGGCCCAAGCACCTGGGCCATCCTCCAATCCTCCAGGGCCACAGCAGAGAGCTGGACTGGAAGAGGAGCAACCGGGACTAGAACCCGACGCCCATATAGGATGCCGGCGCCGCAGGCCGAGGATTAGCCAAGTGAGCCATGGCGCCGGCCCCGACACTCTTATTTATGACATCAGTAATCACCCGAGGCTCTTGTCATGAGCTGCCAAGGCTATGGAAGCCTCTTGAGTTCATAAACTCTGATCTTTAGACAAGGCCATAGTCAAAGTGGAAGTTCTCTCCTCCCTTCAGAGAAAGGTACCTCCTTCTTTGATGGCCCACTCTTTCTGCTAGGATCTCACTCACAGAGATCTTTCATTTAGGTTTGTTTTTTGTTTTTTGTTTTTTGTTTTTTTTTTTGTTTTTGCCACAGTGTCCTGAGATACTCTCATGGGCTTTTTAGCCAGATCCAAATGGTTAAAGGGCTGATTCTGAGGCCTGAGTGCTGTTTTGGGCATTTGCCATTCTATGAGTCAGCTGTGTATCCCGCTTCCCATGTTGGATCGTTCTCTCCTTTTTAATTCTATCAGTTAGTATTAGCAGATACTAGTCTTGTTTATGTGATTCCTTTAACAATATTTTCTTTATGATCAATTATGAACTTAAACTGATCACTCTGACTAGTAGGATGCCATTGGTACATGCCATCTTAATGGGATTGATTCGGAATCCCCTGGCATGTTTCTAGCTCTACCATTAGGGGTAAGTCCGAGTGAGCATGTGCCAAATTATACATCTTCTTCCTCTCTTATTCCCATTCTGATATTTAACAGGGATCACTTTTCAGTTAAACACCTAAGAATAATTGTGTGTTAATTAAAGAGTTCATCCAATAGTATCAAGTAGAACAAAAAAAGTACTAAAAGGGATAAAGTATTAAGTTGTTCCTCGACAGTCAGGACAAGGGCTGATCAAGTCACTGTTTCTCCTAGTGTCCATTTTACTCCACAGGTTTCCTTTTTGGTGCTCGGTCAGTTGTCATAGATCAGGGAGAACAAATGATATTTGTCTCTTTGGGACTGGCTTATTTCACTCAGCATGATGTTCTCCAGATTCCTCCATTTTGTTGCAAAGGACCGGATTTCATTTTTTTTAACTGCTGAATAGTATTCTATAGAGTACATATCCCATAATTTCTTTATCCAGTCTTTTGTTGATGGGCATTTAGGTTGATTCCAGGTCTTAGCTATTGTGAATTGAGCTACAATAAACATTGAGGTGCAGGCAGCTCTTGTATTTTCCAATTTAATTTCCTTTGGGTAAATTCCAAGGAGTGGGATGGCTGGGTTGTGTGGTAGGGTTTTATTCAGGTTTCTGAGGAATCTCCAAAATGACTTCCATAGTGGCTTTACCAATTTGCATTCCCACCAACAGTGTGGATTAGTGTGCCTTTTTCCCAACATCCTAAAAAATAATTTGTTAACACTGTTGGCACACTAAAACAATATTGAAAGTGAAGTGATTATTTCTTAATTGTTTTGAGCCTAATGGATTTAATGATCAGTGAAAAAACTCAGCAGTTTTATTTGATATATTGTCCTTGTGAAAGACAAATGTTTATATTTTAAAAATTATTGACACACATATTTTGCTTATTTGCTTGTCTATTTGAAATGGAGAGAGAGAGGGGGAGAGGAGGGGAGAGAGAGAGACAGAGAGAGAGATTCCATCTGCTATGCATGGTTTGAAGCTCAGAGTCAGTAACTCTAACCAAGTCTCCCATGTGGATGAAAGGAACCCAATTAATTGAGCTTTCACTGCTGCCTCCCAGGGTCAACATGAGCAGGAAACTGTAGTCAGAAACCAGAAGTAGGTATTGAACCCAGGCAATCCAATATGGAATGAGAACATCTTAACTGCTAGGCCAACTGCCCCCCTCAATCTGCTATCTTTTAAAGTTACTATGTCAGTATGTCATTGAACAAATGTTGCTGAGCCCTCCTGTTATTTCCAGTACAATGTGAAGCACTGAGTGAAATCTAAGATAAAATAAAACATGGCTCCTACATTTCTTGGGCTTCAACTCTGATACCAAAGAGAAGGTGTGACATAATGGATACCTCTCACTAATGCTTTAAGAAATATAGTTAGTTCTAGGAGTGCTACTGGAGCTTGAGAAAAATATGCTTTCCATTAGTGTCATTATGAAAGGCTCTTCAGAACAAATAGCATTTACTACCAAAGGATAAAATAACATTTTGTTCACAAATTGTTTTACATGTATGTCTTATCTGCTCAACTACACTGCAATCTTCTTGCAGCTGGAGACTGGATATTATGCTTGTTTTTCTATTCCCTATCTTTATTCTCTTAGCAAGGATTAGCTGCCTAGGAGGCCCTTCCTACCTAATTGATTTTTAATAGTTGCTAAAAGGCTAGACAGATGTCATAACAAATGTTAGAAATTCCATGAGCATCCTTTGTCTGAGTAGATTCCAACAAGAATACCGTTACAAATGCCCTGAGTTGACAGATACTCTAGTTCCTTTATTATGCAGTGAAGAATTGGGAAACTGGATTCTAATTCTCACTTTTCTATGACATGAGGTGGATCAGCCTTCCATTATATCACCTAAAAATGAGCCCAATCGTGTCTTGAAAATTTAACAAGTATCATTTTATGTCACAGGAGTGGTAAAATGATTGAGAAAGGCACTATAGAAATTCACTGTCACTACCACACCTTCTATGTGAAGCTCACTTCATTCATGACAAAACTGCAGAGGTATCTTAGTAGCATGTCATCACTTTAATTTTTTACTTCACTTTTAAGTTTCATCTGGCTCACCTTTTTGAAGTCATTTTCCTTATTTAAATGGTTTTCCATTATACAATTTACTCTTAAACTTAAACCCACCACTGGTTCGAGTTCCGGCTGCTCCACTTCCAATCCGGCTCTCTGCTGTAGCATGGGAGGGCAGTGGAGGATGGCCCAGGTCCTTGGGCCCCCACATCCACGTGGGAGACCCAGAGGAAGCTCCTGGCTCCTGGCTTCGAATCGGTGTAGCTCCAGCTATTTTGGCCATTTGGGGAGTGAACCAGCAGATGGAAGACCTCTCTCTCTCTCTTCCTCTCTCTCTGTCTCTGCTTCTCTGTAACTCTGCCTTTGAAATGAATAAATAAATATTAAAAAAAAAAAAACTTAAACCCACATAGGAAGTCCCAGAGGAAGCTCCTGGCTTCTGGCTTCGGATCAGCATAGCTATGGTCACTGGTTCACTCCCCAACTAGACACAATGACCATAGCTGTGCTGATCTGAAGACAGAAGACAGGAGCTTCCTCCGAGACTTCCCATGTGGGTGCAGGGGCCCAAGGACTTGGGTCATCTTCTAGTGCTTTCTCAGGCCATAGCAGAGAGCTGGATTTGAAGTGGAGCAGCTGGGTCTTGAACTGGCACCCATATGGGATGCCAGCACTGCAGGTGGTGGCTTTAACAACTATGCCACAGGGCCAGCCCCTATCACTCATTCTTTAAAATGTTACTGTTCTATTCTTTATATTTTTTATTTCTGTGTTCTATTTGCAGTTAGAATGGCATGTTTCAGACTGGAAATGGGAAAAATGGGTAATATGGAGGGGTGGTAGTGAGCTAGGGCATTCTGATTCTACATGGGATCTAAAAACTGGCAGGTCTGGTCTGAGGCAAGAAAGTCCTCCAGGTCTCTATACTAGATAGTGAACTAGGGACTATAAAAGAACTAACGTGGTCGAGAGCTTCAGCCTTAAAGTTATTTTAAAAATGGAAGAAGGGCTTTTTATACATAGAAAGAAGGGCACTGATTATTATCTGAATATCACTAATATCTCCCATAGAACCTACTTGGAATAATTTTTTACTATTAATTTGAACAAGAGCACTGAGACTCTTTATATGTATAATAAAGCTAATTTTACATTTAATAGAGACAATTTTATTTTTTAACGTTCATAAAATCAGAATCTTATTAAATTTTAGAAGTGAATAAAACTTTTATAAGTGTAAGATTTTCTTTCTGGGTTCTATTTGCTGATTAAAATGTTCTTGCTTCAATCCCATTAGATTAAATTGAATTTTACAGTGCTCACTATTTTCCTCTTAGACATATCTCAATAGTTTAAATAATGTAGCATTCTTCATGACAAACTGCTTCATACATTCATTTTCACATTTACTTTCATTTTGTTTAACTGAATGCCAATGGTTTATATTTTTCTGATTAACAAGGAGGGGGAACAATCGTTATTATTTACGAAGCCACTACTGTATACCTGGCCCCAGGATAAACTGCATACACTATGCTCTTTAAGTCTTAAAATAGCAGTGAGATAGGCACTGGTATTTTTGCATTTTACAGGTGAGGAAACTGAGGCTTAGAAATTGAAGTCCTTTGACCATATCCCACAGCTAATAAAATGGCACAGCGATCATTAACATCCGGGTCCTACTGACTTCCAACCCACGCTCATAGATAGCAACTTTAACCTGTTTCATAATTGATTCTTAAATTTCTAGTTCTGTGACCTTCACCATGTCTAGCTAAGCCGTCATAGAACATGCACAGTTCCTATCTACTCAAACATCTTCAGCTAGCCTGTTGGCATATATTTCGTCAAGTTGAAAACATCCAAGATTGCTACCCCCTTATGCACCCTTGAACTCAAGAAATGTTCTGCTACCTTTGTGGTCTTGCATGGTTGTAATGTCCTTTCTAAAAGAGATGACCTTACCAAGTGTCATTTCTCGGAAAATAAAGCTGGGCTGCTGTTGACTTTTGATTCATCACCGCACTGATATTTCGTGTCAGTGAGGAGTACACGGGATGAGGCAGCAATCTCCAACTCTTATGAAGGGGAACAGGTGGCTGGTCACGTTGGACACATTCCCTCTGGCGGACCTGGCGACACTGTGACTTGTATTTAGCATTTTAATTGACTTTGGCGGTTGCAGAATCACTTTTCTCCTTACAACTCTTTTCAAAGGAGAGGAAACCAAAATAGAAAGTATTAGAACATCTTACTGTGTCATGTACTTTTCACTCCTTCTGAAAATGAGACTTCCCTTTACTTTGACTCGAAGCTAGCATTCATGGAGAGTCGTTAAGACCAACACACACAGGTGTTTAGCCTATCAGGGAGAGTCAATATTTTTGTCAACTTTTTAAACAACTTCCTCCACAATCATCGCTGCTCTCCAAATAGAATCTGCTGACTTCCACTGCGGGGGTCAGTGTTACACAGTGACTCATTACCGGAGAGAACAAACAAGCTCAACAAAGGCTACTTCAATATGTAAATGTTTCCTTATTGCTAGTGAAA